CAGTTCACGTTACCCCCCCCCCACCCCCCAATAACAAGCCATGAAGGTGTAGATGAAATGTGTGAATGAAATTAACCAACGTCTAAATTAGGGAAAAATGCGCTTCATTATAATCGAAGATTCCAATGCAAAGGTAGGGAAAAGCAAATAATGAGAGGATAATTGGTAATTTTGGCATCAGAACACGAATGAGATAGAACATCTACTAGAGTTTACAGCTATCCAGGACATGCAAAGAATGGCTACCTTTAAAGAAAGAAGGCATCTATAAAATGGATGTGGAGGAGCATGAAAGGAATTTTTTTGAAAATAAACTGGCTTCTCATAGACAATCCATGTATCAGGGATGTCACAGCTTGGATGACTCCATCAATTTCCAATGAGTCAAATGCCTTTTTATAGTCTACAAAGGCTCAGCATTATAAACTTATATAAAAAGAAAGAGAAATCATCCATCTGGATTACGCAACGCTTTCCAATGTGCTTTTGTCTTCGGAAGTATTTCCTTTGCAACAATAACGGTGGCGATGAGACAACGGGACGTGGCTCTGCCCGGGAGGGCCCGCCTTGGCCCAAAGGGCTGGCTTGATGAAAGACAGAGGGAGGAGGAGGGGAGCATAGCAGGAAGTACGTTTTGAATATACATTTACTTCTGTCGGCACATTGGTATGTTGCTTTTCATTTTCAAGTTCAGCTTCCCAAAGGCACTCCAACCTGGTCTCATCTGCCTATTTACTTCATTATTTTGATTCCAGTCCACTTTTAACAGCTGTCCTAGATATGCATATTCTAATATATATGCCAATGGTGTCCCTCTGACAGATGTCTCCAATTGTTTAGTGAACTTGTACATCACCTTTGTTTTGATTATATTTATCCATAGCCCAACTTTTCAGCCCTCCCTCTCGATTAGGTTCATAAAAAATTTGCTGGACGCTATTATGACTGTGTCATCAGCAAATATAAGATTGTTAATGTTTTCTCCATGAACGTATATGCATTTGCTTCTCCAATCCAATTTGCAGAACACACCTTCTAATGCCGCTGTGATTAACTTTGACGAAAGCACGTCACCTTATTTAATATGTATTTGGTACTTCGTGTAATCTCAGTGCGGCTTTTATTATTCATAATTATTTGTATTTGAGGCCTTAGTTTGTGAGAGCTGTGAAACCCGCATACATTCTATTTTTTACTGAGTTAAATGTTTATTAGAAAACGTAAACATTACCAACATTACCATTTTTAAAATTGATTTTATTCAATTGTAGATACTGTATAGTGTTTCGTATATGCCTATTAAGAACAAAACTGCACCTCAATAAAGTTCTTTATGGGGCATCCTATTCGGAAATTAAATGGCAGGTAAATAACGCGTTTAATAAAAGGAGTTATGATCTGCGTTTGTAAGTTAAATAACCATAACATGGCAATCTATCAACCAGCGTGCATGCTGACTGCAATAGTTCATCATTAATTACAACGACACTATGGTAATTCCAAAGCTCATGTATTGTAATGAATGCCTTCAAGTTATAAATGCAATAAAGTAGTAAAATATTTAGCATTGTATAAAACAAAACATACTGCCGTGTTTAAGCTGTTAAAGCAATGCTACTCTGGATATGACAAATATCACCACCACCATCAACAACAACAAACTTAATGTTATGCAACAACTTCATAAACAGAAGACAAGATTGCAAAATGGCACTACTGTTTCTGGACACTGAACCGGTGGAAACCTTGTAAGTGAATTACGTTATTTGTTTTTCAACACACAAACACCACACAATGTATAGCCTGCTGTACCTGATGACAAAACCATTACATGAAATGTGTATTGAAGTGTGCAATAGCCAGTTTTCTTTTTTCCCAAAAAGACACTTTGTCTGCAAACTGCAGATGAGTGAAAACGTGCAGATGGAATTCCACGTGTTCAGTTTGCTACACGTGGCCACCCAATAAACCTGGAACGCTGACCAACTTTTGACTAACCATTACATTAAATGTGTCCAACGTTTAGCTAACGTTGGTCCAACGTTTCCAAACACATGCCCCCACGTTGCATGTTTACTGAGTGCACATACCATGTAAAGTATGCACACACATGGTTTCCCAAACAACGCATTCTGTCGACCACGTTGGTGATGCACGTACTCCTGTATACACATGTACACGTATTATGTAACAGCATACCGTAGTAGTTTACAACCGAGTGTCACTGTTTGATAAGGCTTACCCCCCCACCCCCACACCTTGTCGTTCACAGGGTTTGACCATACTTCACCACGCTGGTCAGTGCGTGGTACAGAGGGTTGGAACCCAGGACGGGTTCGGATTATCGCTCGCCACTGATGTTGGCAGTGGCTGGGAGTAGAACCAGGTGACAGGGGTGATAGATCTGTGCGTGCTCATCATTGTTTCCTACATGTAGATGTACAATCGTCGGCACAAGTGCATAAACATAACTTACTTAAAATGTTGATATCAGCGCCTTCTACAAGATTCTAGAAACTACACCGTTGAACTCCGCACACACCACACACACAACGGCACCTTTGTGTGCACGCAGGTGATAACCCCATGGGGGAGAGAGACAATGCCGTCGTTTGTGGCCATGTCAATTGCAAAGAGTACAGAGGGCACCAGGCTCAGGGTGCACGGTTTGTGGTGGCGACATCATTCGTGGAATGAGAAACAAGACGAAAGTAAATACACTACTTAAACACTGCCCCGCGCACAGCAGTCAACGCACACTCACTGTCAACGTGTAGCCTTAGCACACTGCTGTTGGGGTCGAGCACCTATAGAGATGCAATGGCATACAACACCTAATACACTCTGACACACACAGGTAACATGACGTGTGCAGTAGAGGAACACTGAAAATCAGAGAGACAATGCACTTACAATAAGACCACACCTGGAATGGCAGTTAATACATTTAAAATGTAACGCACACACCATGATGTGTAGAAGACAATCACTCGATCATCGCCACCTACTGGCAGGACAATTACCCCCGGGTCACGGAGTAAATGCGACTCATCCTGGGTTCTCACGTGCTTAAACTTAACTAAAGACAACACAAGTAACATAATATACAGTGTACAATTGCAATAAGGACAAATATATCGCAGTAGTAAAAGTGCACGACATCCACAGCTACACTCACGAGATGATGAGTAAAAACACAATGATACACACAGAGTGACATGTCACTCAAAATAACACACGGATTCGCTGTCAGATACACCTCCAACGACACGAAGATGCAGTTAGACTTACACACTGGGTGATAAATACACTCATGACACACATGGTGACAGATATACATTGATAATCACACACGCACACACAGGATGAGATGAATAGGAATAACGACACACACACACGGGACACAGTTGAACAAGCCGGAACACGGCTGGGTAGTAAATCATACAACTAAGACAAATATCTTTGTTGTATGAGTTACTGCAACAGCCAAGAACACACACACACAGTGACATGTACACTAACAATGACACACACACACAGTGACATGTACACTAACAACGATACACACACAGTGACATGTACACTTACAATTACACACACACAGTGACATGTACACTTACAATGACACACACAGTGACATGTACACTAACAATGTCACACACACACAGTGACATGTACACTAACAATGACACACACACAGTGACATGTACACTAACAATGACACACACACAGTGACATGTACACTAACAATGACACACACACAGTGACATGTACACTAACAATGTCACACATACACAGTGACATGTACACTAACAATGACACACACACAGTGACATGTACACTTACAATGACACACACACAGTGACATGTACACTAACAATGACACACACACAGTGACATGTACACTAACAATGACACACACACAGTGACATGTACACTAACAATGACACACACAGTGACATGTACACTAACAATGACTCACAGACACACAGTGACATGTACACTAACAATGACACACACACAGTGACATGCACACTAACAATGACACACACACAGTCACACACACAGTCACACACACACAGTCACACACAGTCACATACACACAGTCACACACAGTCACACACAGACAGTCACACACAGACAGTCACACACACAGTCACACACACAGCCACACACACACAGTCACACACAACAGTCACACACAACAGTCACACACACACAGTCACACACACACAGTCACACACGCAGTCACACAGTCACACACACACAGTTACACACAGTCACACACACACACACACAGTCACACACAACACAGCCACACACACACTCACACACAACAGTCACACACACAGTCACACACACACAGTCACACACACAGTCACACACAGTCACACACACTCACACACACACAGTCTCACACAAACACACAGTCACACACACACAGTCACACACGCACAGTCACACACACACACAGTCACACACACACTCACACAGTCACACACACACAGTCACACTCACACACAACAGTCACACACACAGTCACACACAACAGTCACACACACAGTCACACATAGTCACACACACACAGTCACACACACACAGTTACACACAGTCACACACACACAGTCACACACAACACAGCCACACACACACTCACACACAACAGTCACACACAACAGTCACACACACAGTCACACACACACAGTCACACACACACAGTCACACTCACACACAACAGTCACACACACAGTCACACACAACAGTCACACACACACAGTCACACACACGCACTGTAATGTCGACTGTAGAGGCAGAGTCTGACGGGGCTGTCTCTCTCTCCGTGTGTGTATCTCTCCGTGTGTATCTCTCTCTGTGTGTCTCTCTCTCTGTCTCTCTCTCTCTCTGTGTGTCTGTGTGTGTCTCTCTGTGTGTCTCTCTGTGTGTGTGTGTCTCTGTGTGTGTGTCTCCGTGTGTGTGTCTCTCCCCACCCCCCTCTGTACCTGCGCCACCAGCGGGACGAGCGTCTGTTCCACGGAACGCGTCTTAATCTCGAGTCCCAGGTCCCCGTTGTTGCTCGCCGCAGAAGCCATGATCGCTGCCCCTTCGGAGAGGACGCGGGAACTCTCCTCTCTCCTCCTCCTTCTCCTCCTCCTCCTTCTCCTCCTCCTCCTCTCTCCTCCCTCCTCCTCCTCCTCGCTCCCTCGCCTTGCAGTGCTGCCCGGCGCACGCACGACACACACCGACTCGGGGTTGGGGTCGCGCTGGGATGAGATCTGGGTGGTGGGTGGGTGGTGGTGGTGTGTGTGTGTGGTGGGGGGATGAGTTTGAGACAGGGTCGGGATGAGAATGCGATGGGTTCAGGATGATATTGGGGACGAGTCAGCCGGTGAGATGTGGGTGATGGTCGTGATGGGGGTGGCAGCGTCTTTGCGGTGGAGTGTATGGATCACGCATGTGGATGGGATGAGTTTTTTTTGGGATGGATCAGGATTGGGATGAATCAGGATTGAGATGTATTAGGAGGATCTGGTGTGATTGCACGCAGTGGGGGTTGTGATGAGATGGGGCTAAGATGGTGTAGGGTGGGTTTGGCATAGGTCAGGATGGATTTTGGGATGGAGTGGGATGGGTTAGGAAGGGTAATCCAGTGTGGCCACACGCACACACGACTCACGTACCCACGAGGTTGTGATGGGGATGGGACGGTATGGTGCGGGATGAGTTTAGGATGACTTACGATGGGATGCGATAAGGCTGAGAGTTAGGCTGAGATGGGATATCCAGCGTGGCCACACACACAATGATCCTCTCTCTCTCACACACACATACACACGACTCACGTACCTACGAGGTTGTGATGGGGATGTGACGAGACGCTGTGATGATGAGTTCAGGATGACTTGCGATAGAATGCGATAAGGCTGAGAGTTAGCCTGAGATGGAATACCCAGCGTGGCCACACGCACAATGATCCTCTCTCACACACACACACAACGACTCACGTACCCACGAGGTTGTGATGGGGATGTGACCAGACGCTCTGATGATGAGTTCAGGATGACTTGCGATAGAATGCGATAAGGCTGAGAGTTAGCCTGAGATGGAATATCCAGCGTGGCCACACACACAATGATCCTCTCTCACACGACTCACGTACCCACGAGGTTGTGATGGGGATGGGACGAGGCGCTGTGATGATGAGTTCAGGATGACTTGCGATAGAATGCGATAAGGCTGAGAGTTAGCCTGAGATGGAATACCCAGCGTGGCCACACACACACACACACTGACCCACTCACACTGACCCACTGGCTGGGGGTGCACAACGCGGCAGGGAGAGAGCGCAGGAGCCGGAGGAGGAGGAGGCGGAGGAGGCGGTGGACGGGGAGGGGGTGCTGAGTGCGCGTCTCTTGCAATTGGCCGCGCGCCGCTGTGCGGACAATGGACCGCGTGCGTCCGCACTTTGCGAATGCCACTTTTTTGCGTAGCCTGGTGGACGTGAAACGGCTTCGTCAGCCCACAGCGCGTTGTGTTGCTGCTGCTCCGCGTGGTGTGGTTATCATCGTCATCATCAGCACGCTGGACATTCCTCGGCTGCCCGGTTGAAAATGAGAAATGTTACACGCAGGATGATGATGTATTGGCGTTGTTTTACTCGTTGAGCCGTCTCGAGTACTGCGGGGCTAAAGAAGGTGTCGTGAAAGGCATGCAAGTTCTGTATTTTGAACACAGTTTTGGCTTAAGATGTTTGGGATTATGCCGTCCTCTCGCGGTTTAAGTTTAAACTGACTTTGAATCGTGGTGCTTCCCAACTTGTGTTTGGCTCCGTAAAACTCGTTTTTGCCGCCCTTGGTAATTCAAAGAGTTATTTATTCAAGGCACACAACAAGCACCGCAAACATTTAAGTCACCGTAACACCTAGACCCCTGTACATTTTCAACATCCATGTCAATTCAATCAGCAGCGACGTGAAGCATTCAGCTGTTTCACTTCACTGTAATTAATAATGTTTTATTCGTCCAAAGCAGCTTCCATCTCATCTTTCTGCATCTTGTTGACGTGGGTATTCTGTTAAAACTGATGTTCAACCGTGATAATATAACAGGTCATACTATCATTCATAAATCTTTTGCAGCCAAACAAGCCATAGTTTGGTGATACCAAAGTTAGTTGAATGGGTATTTTGCAGATCTATGCGGTAGGCAACTTTTCTAAATCATGTTACCACCGTGGAACATTTCCAAGGTATTTCTCCAAAACGTAAAGATGTGCTGCTTCACTACAGTACAGTACTGGCATATGCAGACATGAATGGTACTGAGTAGATTTGCGTTTAAAACATGATTGTCCCTTTCCCTCTCTCACACCCACCCTCCACCAAAGTAAAAATTACACGGATGCATTGTTTCATGTTTTCTCTATTGTATCCATTTATTGCTTATTAAATAACATGGGATTGTATGCAGAGGTTTGTCTAACCTCGACCAACAGCAAAGTCGATAGAAGAATAATTAAGTGAACACATTTACTTCTTACCAGCCTTGTTCTCCATCACTTGGCACCTATGAGTACATTCAACGAATTATTTACTCAAAGCTGTCAGTGGTTGCGTTTGTTCTAAAAAAAACGTAGAATATATTACAAAGCGACTATAAAAAATAATGATTTGACCACTACTGCAGCTTTTTGCAAAGGTAAGCTTAGTTATCACTTGCATATACTGTATCTTATACGATATGTTGCAGGTTTCACATCTGCAAATCAATCATTTGTGCTGAGAGATTACATATCAAAGATATATAATTCAAATTGTTGTTTATTTACTTTGATATGTCTTTACTTCAGACATTCCTGATATATTCACAGGACATGCTCGTCATTCGTGTATCAGTAGCAGTATAACCTGCAATGGGCACCCTTCCTAAATCTGAAAACATAAACCAAGCCGTAATGATTGATTTTCCCTCCTCAATTTCAGTTGCAGGCATTGTATAAATTTTGGGATTTGAGGTTTTTACTGACATACAGTAAAGTATATTTCATCTTTTGTTATAACATAGGGGCACGACCCACATTTTATCCAACTCATTCTGAAATGTATCATTCGTAAAATACGCTGTTGTAATGTAACCCTGTACAAATCCATATTCGACAACTTGTAATATATTTACGATGTAAATTATGACTTATGGCTTGTTTGTAAATTGTATTTTATTATTTAATTGCATGACCAGTTCTTACACTGCATAGACATCGAGTACTTAAAGGATGATAGATTGGATATAGCGCTTCTGCAATGTGGTAGTATTTAAAATCTATTACTCCAGGCTTTTGTATTTGACAAATTGTAATTCATTCATATAATCAAATGCTAAACATGGAAAATTGAATATAAAAGCCAATTTTATCAATGATTGGTCTATACGGTACTGTATTTCCTGAAGCCCCAACAAGCAAAAAAATGAATGCCCCAAAGCATGAGCAATCATTTTCCACAGTGCCCACCCTCTTGATAACCACATCAAAACGATTATCATATTTACCAAATTGGTGTAATTGAACCATTTTGCATGACCATGTGTGAAATGCATTATTAATGAAATTTAGCATTCAGATTATGGATATCCTTTAAACATGAAAAAAAATCTGAGCTATTTATACGGATGTTTGTACTTTTTGACAAAATGCTGTGGGCGAATATGTAGACCTCTTTTTTGCTCATAGAGTGTCGACTGTAAATGCACATATTGATATAATTTCCATGTGTAATGCTACTTTTAATTATGCAGCACAGTAATTCAATCATTATATGCTTTGAAAACCATGGTTTTTCAATCCAATTTAGTAATTATCTTGTATACTGTATATGCATCATGCTGGCCTGCCATTTTTCCATTAGAATAATGTACTGGCATGCTTTTTTGCTGATACAAAAGGAGTATTTTATGTAAATAATAAATAAATATAAATGCTGGGCAGTAATTTTGATTTCTTTTATCACTGAATAATTAAGCTATTTAAAGTAGTATTCAGGTTTTGTACTTTGCATCTGACTCTCTGGATATGCAATATCAAACTAGAAACTACGTTCATGGGACCTCCTTTGCCAGTACCAAATTATGATAATATGTTTTTCCCCTTTTTTCTGGCAACAAAACAGATGTTAAAACACCAAAATGAAACCTTTTACAAGGAATCATGTCTACATTAACCACAATACTTGTGGTCAGAATGCAAAAAAAAACATACTCTGATAATATATGCATTGTTCTAGAAACTGATTGGTCCACACCAGAGACAGATTTATTTTGAGCCTCGTCGCAAACGGTGTTAGACCAGAGGACGCCAAAAGGCGTACAGCACAAAGACAAACATTATACTTTTATTGTAAGGTTGCCTTTCACAGGACAAACACAAAGGTATTTTTGCATACCCAACATGCACCTTTTTTTCCTAAAGCACAGTTATACCCTTGTTCACCTCTTTGGAAAACATATGATGTGTGTGCTTAATGAAAAGATAAAAGGTTTGACTATGACAGCCCACAATGTATCAGGTTGGAGAGTGGGTGTCTTAATGTCGTGTTATATTTCCCAATGCGATGCAGCTCCCAGCTTCGTATATAGCAAACTCTCGCCACCTGCCGACTGCTCTATTAATAACCTCTTAGTTAAGGCTAAAAATACGACAGTACATCACTACCTCCTTGGAGATCACACACTTATAAACTTTAAATATGGGATCAAGATTAAATATCACTCGGTTAATCCAGTTTAAACACTCAGCACATATCTTCTTGGTTCTTTCGGTAAAGTCACGTAGAAGGGAAATAATAAAATAATAAAAAAGAAAACATCGTAAAATTAAATTCTTACGACGTTTCGGCCACAACACAAGCAACCGAAAGAACCAAGAAGATGAATCCCTGCAGTCACGAAAGTTTAAATCGAAACTCAGCACATAGTAATGCACTAATATCTTTGTTCGCCAAGGGGTAACATTGTGTTACCAGTACAAAGTAGTTTTTTTTCACACTCAACATACAATGACGTGAACACCAAGTGTCGGTTTTTTTATATCCTCAATTAGCGTTTGCTTTTCTCGCATGTTGTATGGGATTTGCGTATGTCCCCTTTTGTGTTAAAAATTTGGATAGCGTGTGGTGGGGTAAAGTGTGACTACTCCCACCTCTTCTTACAGCTTGGCAAAAAAACAGGCAAAAAAAAACCACCCTCCAGAGGGATTATCGAGAGCTCTGGCAAATGGAAGCCCTAACGTCAGCGTGCCCAAACAATCTTAGAGCTGCACCTTTACCCATTATAAAAAGGAGTAAGGGACAAGGGTCAACACACTTACATGGCACAGAGTGAACGACACGTTGAGAGGCAGCTATTGGCAAAGAACGGACTCGAGCTTGGGTTTGAACGTGTAAAGGTTCATGCCGATGGCCAGGGGCGAGTCGTAGACATAAATGATCTCCCATCAACTTTACTGGGAATTTAAACACAAGCCCCTTTGTTGTCTGAGCGCTGGGTAATAGGGGAAGTTTAGTAGAGCGAGATGAGTTGGGAGGGATAAACAGGGGTAAGTCTGTGGAGGATGTTGAAAACATGGTTTGCAATTGATATGCAGGGTTGGGGAGCCAGTAGAGGAATCTGAGAATTAGGATGTCACATTCCTGATGAGCCAATCCATTGTGAATCATCTGGAGCCAAAACGGGTCACGCTCAATGGGTTCACCCACCTACAAATATATCATGTGTATTGGATATAAACTTATAGGCAACTCCTATTCTTTTACAGCAGTGTTCTTCATTTCACTGGCGATCCCGATTGGCCTTTGGTGCGGGCCCACGACAATACTTTACACAAATGTGAAAACACCCCCCCCCCATCGCCCTGTCAACCCCAATGGTTTAAAATGTGTGGTGGCCCTCACACACTGACTTCTGCCTTATCGGCGAAAATGCCCCCCCCCCCCACTCATTTCTGAAAATAGTGAACACTGCATTTCAAAATCATCTGCAGTGGTGGGTGCCCGGTCCAAACTTAGCGAGCACGTCACCAGCACCCCCCCCCCCCCGTGTGTTGAGTGACGCGCTATAACAGGATACAATGAATCTGCGACATAATTAATGATAAATTATGTTCATGTCGAAGGCCCATATATGGAGTCATCCGGCGTGGGATTTGCCCGTATCAGGAATAGTGGAACGATACAATGATCGATTGAGCCGGAATCGATCGAATTTTAAGGATACAAAGCGTGATCCATGCTCGAACACATCGCTGCGAAATGT